CGGAAACAGGCTCCAGGCTCTGAGCCGTCAGCCCAGAGCCCGACGCGGGGCTCGAACTCCCGGACCGCGAGATCGTGACCTGAGCCGAAGTCGGACGCTTAACCGACTGAGCCACCCAGGCACCCCTTTTTTTAAATTTTTAAAAAAAGTTTATTTATTTTTGAGAGAGAGAGAGGGAAGGGAGAGAGACAGAGAGAACGAGCAAAAGAGGGGGAGGGGCAGAGAGAGAGAGGGAGACACAGAATGTGAAGCAAGTTCCAGGCTCTGAGCTGTCAGCACAGAGCCTGACGAGGGGCTTGAACCCACAAACCAGGAGATCATGACCTGAGCTGAAGTCGGGGGCTCCACCAACTGAGCCACACCCAGGTGGTAGAGATTGCTTAAAAATAAAAGTTAAAAAAAAATCCTGTTACCCATTATTGCCTCAGGGAATGTTATTTATGTTACTAGGTAATAGATTCAGAAAGGCTTGTTCGACAAGGGGGTGTCAATACCACCCCTCTTCCGTAAGGTACCACATCTTCCTGCAGACAGAGAAAACTTCTGGGTGCACATTCTGATGCACAAGAGCTGGGGTTCTGAGCTCACTCATCGATGGCACGCTTCCACGGACAGTGAAGGCTAGCCGCGTGCTGAGAAGCTGGAGGGTGCTCCCACCCAGCTATGTGTTCTAGGGGGGCTCGTCAAACTACCAGGGGCAGCGATGGTGTTTTGCCAGACTCCTCCCATTTAGCCATCCAGTCCAAGAAGAATAATAAAGAAGGAAATTTAAGACCCGAGACGAAACAGTTCTCGCATGGCAATGAGAGAACAACCTAGTTGCTTGGTTTTATTGAAATCAGACTGAAAGTTTCGAGAATTTATTTTTTTTTTCTTTTTTTTTTTTTTTAATTTTTTTTTTCAACATTTATTTATTTTTGGACAGAGAGAGACAGAGCATGAACGGGGGAGGGGCAGAGAGAGAGGGAGACACAGAATCGGAAACAGGCTCCAGGCTCCGAGCCATCAGCCCAGAGCCTGACGCGGGGCTCGAACTCCCGGACCGCGAGATCGTGACCTGGCTGAAGTCGGACGCTTAACCGACTGCGCCACCCAGGCGCCCCAGAAAGTTTCGAGAATTTAGATCAAAATTTGAATAGCTGCAACCTAAAACAATGAATTTTAGGAAAAAGCACCTTCAACCCCCAAATGAAAGGGTATTTTTATAGAGGCTGAAGTCCAAAAACACGAAGAGCCGACCAGAGTTTAAACACAACGAACGTTTGGAAATAAGAGCCTGGTAAAGAGCCACAAACATGGTAACAGGATTCAGAGCATATGGTCATATAATTATTATTCTTTGGCCACTGGGAAGGCAATGTTATCTTTCCTTTTCTTCTCTTCATTCAGTTTAACATGCACAACACTTTGCTTTTGGGATATTAAATGTAGTCCACAGTAAGGTGACAACTATTTGTGTATAGTGGGAGATCGATGGCTTTCGTCCACAGAGAAGTTCTTGACCCCAAGCATCCTAACAGCCCAGTAGTCCTGGACAACTTAATCTCTCAGGCTTCACCTCCTTACACCAATGAAAAGGGAGCAGTACTACTTACCTTATAAGGCTGTCGCAAGGATTAAATGCGTTATGATGCATACACATCCTCCTTCAAATATAAGGTACTACACAGATGTAATGCATCCCCAGACAATATTCTTGTTCTGACCTGTCTCTGGTGTAGTAAGAGCGACTTTAGAAACGGAGAACTGAGTTAGCGTCTCTCAAAGCAGGAAGATTGTTTATTATATCAATATTATATCAAAACAGTGGCAGACTATTCCTAGATATAGGCACAGCAGTGTTGAAACGTTTCTTCTTTATCGTGGTAAAATATACATAACATAAAATTTATCATTTTAACCTATTTTAAGTATACAGTGGTCTCACCTTAAATATGCCCGCATTGTCCTGTCACCATCACCGCCATCCGGACCCATAGTTTTTTAATCTCTCCATATAAACTCTATATCCATTAAACACTGACCCCTACCTCCCCCTTCCCCCAGCCCCTGTCAACCAGCATTCTATCTTTTGCGATGAATCTGACTACTTTAGGTAGCTCATATAAGTGGAATTCTATGCTATTTGTCCTTTTATGACTGGCTTATTTCATTTAGCATGATGTCTTTCAGGTTCATCCATGTTGTAGCAGGTGTCGGAATTTGTT